TTAACGAATTGCAGTAAGTGCGTGCGCCGAGACTATGCCTGGAGTTGTGAAAATAAACGCGACTGTCACGGCGCCATCCAGCACATACACACACACTCCAAATTCGAACGTAACGACAACAACATAAGAAGTAATAATAATAGCGATACGAAGTGTGTACAACATGAGAGTACGAAAAAAAAACATCATAAAACATTGTTGGCATTCGTAAATGTGAATAAATATAATAAATAAGCATGGGCACGCATTTGTGCGAATAAAAGCGCGCACCGAACCCAGAAGACAAATTAAAGCAACGTTATTATCGAGGCCGAACGCTGTAAATATAACACTTTTACACATTCCAACCGTTTTAAACTGCTTGAATATTTAAATTTGGCAACGTTGAAATTGAAAATTATTTGCAATGCTCGTACGTTGTCGTGATATGCCTAGTTTAGTCGGGTCACACCTGAAATACAAACGTTCTTTGTCTTCGTTATATCTGGGGAATATATCAATGCGATATAAATTTTATTTCTTAAACTTTATTGATTTAGAAATTGTAATGGAAAATAGGGGGCTGAAGAAAAGTGGCAGGGAGGCTGAGGCTGAAAGCCTTTATTCTACACCAATATTAATTGGTTGCATGTTGCTCGGAGATAAAACGTGCACCAGATGATATATGCCACATTAACGGTGCGCTGCGTTAAGCTCCAATATTTCCAAAATGATTATAATTCAATTAATTTAATCACCGATTTATTGGATTCGATGTGCTATTGCCATGCTCGCTTTTGGCAATTTCATTTTAACGATGAGCCTTTTTTTACGCCTTTACTTTTCTTCATCATCTCATTCTCACTTTTTGCAAGTGTTTGCAAGCCTGCATTTTCGCATTCAATTTGAGTTTCATAAAGTTCCAGTGCTATAGAGTCTTTAATTAGGTGCCACAGTCACGTCGCGAAATGCACACAGTTGCAAATATTCTTGTTCTCATAAAATGGATGATGGCAATACACATGGAAAATTGAACGTGAGTCACGAAACATGCGATAATAAAGCATCTATGACACAAATAAATATTCCTTATTGTGAAGAAACCAATTAGATGCTAAGCAAATAGACTGCATTCTTCGCTTTTCATTTTACCCTAGCGGCGTTCAGTTGGCTTCACTCTTTGTTCGTTCGTTCAACTACAATTTTAATCGTACGGTGTTTGAAACGAACGCATGGAAAATCTCACAATCAAAGCATATACAAAGCACACAAGTTATCACACATATTTTTTCACTCATTCTTCACTTTATTCTTCATTATTTTCTTTTAATATGATCGAAACGAATGAAATGGTCGGGCTTCCGGAATTTTTTTATTTTAGAATTTTGGTTTATCGAGCTTTTGAATAGAGTGCGAAAGCAATATCGGCGCAAGGAAAAATTCCAGAAAAATACCACGTATATACATATTGAGCAGTATGGATAAGATATGTACGTTTGGCTCTGTTCCATCAAATTCCACAAACAAATGGAATTCAACACATGAAAAAATAGAGCGTTCCATAAATGGGGATGAAGAAATAAAACTGGGACCAATTTCACCAAAAAGTTTTACTAAGAATGTGACTACGATTTTTTTTTTTAAATAAATGTGATTTTTTCAATAAGTTCTTGAGAATATTTTAAAATTTATTGAAGGTTCTCATTTAAAATATATTGTGAGAAAATCTCATGTGAAACTTTTTGGTGAAATAGCGCCCTGATGAGTGCTTTCAACGAGAAATAAGAACAAAGCTAGTTAATAAGCTCATTAAAATTAAATTAATGCCATATACTGAGTGTCTCATATAAGTGGGATACTATTTGGGATTGTGATGACAACAGAAATAGCTGTGACCATCTGTCCAACATGTTTTCTTTTGTTTTGAACTGTTTTAAATCAATTTCGATCCTATTTTTGATTTTGGATATTTGGAAGCAGTTTACTTTCTACCAAAGCATTACCAGCATCTTTTGCTGAAAATGATCTGAAATCGTATTAAAACATTAAAAAAACGTTTTTGTGCCACATTTTTTGGCTAAATTTTTTAAGTATATCTCACCTAAAATATGCATACTCAATTGCATCGTTAAAAAGTTATAAATTTGAAGGCGGAGTGAGTCGAAATTTATTGAAAAATTTTGATTCAAATTCATTTAACCAATTTAAAGGTTTGATTTTGTTTTAAATAGAAATTCTTGAACACGGAATTCAAGAGTACCGCAATCAAATCTCGAGAGAAATTCTTGACTACCAGTTTCCGGCAAAGAAACAACTCGTCTTACGCTCTGGGTCATTTAGTCAGCTAGTCGATTATTTTGAAACATTTTGACTATCGCTTGACTATTACATTTACAGTATGTTTCATTATAGAGAGAGGTTGATTTTTTATAATAAAACTCAAGAGTTTTACAAAATTATTTTATATACATTCTATTTAGTATCTAAGCTACGGCGCCACAAATTAATATTTAATCCATTCTCCTGCCTTCTCGATCACACAGGCACATCTATTCGGCATACTTTTGCTCAAATTTTCAGCATATTCGCTTTGAAAACCTTTCCACTGGCGCTGAATGAATGAACTGAGCTGCTTCAAATTGCGGTATGTTTTACCACGAAGCCATGCCTTAATAATAGCCCAAAAATTTTCGTTCGGATTGCAATCGGGTGACTGTGGCGGCCAGTCCATTTGTTTAATGTCATTTTCCTCTTTCCAAGCATTGCATAGACGACTTTTGTGTTTTGGATCGTTGTCTTCTAATAGAAGCCAATTCGAATTGTGGTTGCCATAGAACTTCTTAGCGATGGGTAACTGTGTCGATGAATAATGTTGGTTCATCCTCACGGCGCTTGGAATCCCCGTGAATATGGTCAACTTTCCAAAACCAGCTTCACAAAAGCAACCATAAGCATGCACCTTTTTCGGATACTTTACCGTGCGAACGACCATTCTCTTTTGGGCTCTAGACTAGGCATGGGTAGTGCTATTCACCAGCCAAAAGAATGACTCGTCAGTGTATATAACTTCGCTCCAATCTCTTGTTGAATTTTGCTTTGCCCCGTCAGTGCCTTTTTCTTCTGGTTTTCTGTCAAAAGCGGTTTCTTCAATTTACTGCGATAACGAACACCGGCAACATCTAATCTTCTCCTGATAGTAGAGCGCGAGACCTCTATACCTCAACAACATACCTAAATTTTTATCGAACAACTTGACTCTCCGTTTATCTTCCTGTTGCGAGGAGGCTCAGTTTGGCTTCAGATTGGGCTGGTCGTTCACTTTTTTTTCATGCTTATACTGCTGGATTCACTTTATTACGAACCCTTTTGACTTTTTAATGTATTTAGCAGTCGATGTGATCGACATTCTTTGTCCTTTTGGATGCAAATGCAGAAAAACGGCTTCAAACCGTGAATGAAAATGTTCGGAAATAATGTTTTCGTTGCACAACAAACACTGTACTGATTTGAGAGCTGTCATTGTTAATTGGCGTAGTAGCTTAGAGTCTCATATGGCAACACCAAAAACATTTTTAGGATATTTGAAATTTGTGGTAGTTAAATCAACCTCTCTCTATAATGAAACATACTGTAATTATAGTCTACTTGGCAGCTAAATTTGATTAACTTATTAAGGTTGTTTATTTTTCCAGTCAATTCGTCACAAAATATTCAGTAACTTTTTTTGTGCTCGGGAATGAATCAAATAATCTTAACATATAAACTGAAATACTGTAATCGCGATAATAAAATGTTTAATGCTTCATTATTACCATTATTGAGATTTGATAACTGATTGGCATTCAATTAAATCAAAATTAACGAGATGTTTTACAGCGAATTTTTCTCTTCTCACAAAAATTTCTTGGCATATTGACAAAGACGAAGAAATTATTTCGTCGAAAATTGGCAATGAAAAAATGGAATTAAAAAAAATCGCAACAAAAACCAAGACATCTTCTTTATTTGTGCACATTAAATCACACTCTAACACATGCACGAATTGGCAAAAGTTGAACAAGTTCTTCTTCACACTACTGAGCACTTTTTTCCACTTCAATTCGATTATGTATCGTCATGGACAGCATTTCATGTAAAAAACATTGATACATTGTTCATTTCTTCGACAAAGAAAATTGAAAATACTTCAACATAAGAATCATATGGTCACAATGACTTGCATTGAAAAAATACAACATCAAATTCAATAAAAACAATAAATATAGCGTGATGCATGCATATGAGAAAATAAATCAAAACAAAAAAAAACTTGTCTCGCCATCTAGTTTTCAACTCAAACATTGAACACGAGTAACATCAGGTTATGCATTTGAAAATCCAATAAGATCTTTTAATTGGATTATTTTCCATCTTCTATCCAGAAATAGAATCTTATGAGATTACTGTTTCTACAAATATAACGATATTTATGAAGCTATTTCACGCCAATTTTTAAGTAGTTTCAAAAAAAATAAAGAGTCTTACAGCATAAAATAAATAAAATGTTTAAAACACTTTTGGTATTTAATGGAGAAAGTGTTAAAATTTCAGAAAAAGAATGTTACTTTTGGCGCGAAAAGTTTTCTGAATTTTCTACTTTGCACCAACGTTCACCGATTTTTTTACCACAATTTATATTTATATTATTGTAGAAAGTATAGGCTTTGGTCTTGTTTCAATTACCTACGTAAGTCGCTTTAGTCATTAGTAATTATTCGATTTTTCAAAAATGTCTGTTTAAACATCCGAATCACACCTGCAAAAGATGATCACATTAATTGCGACAGTGTTATCATGTGAAACATATTTTTATTTTTCAAATGTATTCTCATGTTACCATTTCAAACTGTGGAGATATCAGGCCACATTATTGTTTAATGAGAACCATATAATTATTATACGTGTGAAATTGAATGGCACAATATATCTAGTGAATAAGATACATTTAAAACGTAGCTTTTTAATTCATTTTGAGATATTCAACGTAAACGACTGTATTTTATCAACTGTGCATATTTTGAAATTGAAATTTGTTTGCGAATAATGTCGAAATTAATCAAATTTAGTATTGTTTTGTTGTTAGTGGCTTCGGTAGCGAGTGCCGTTCCAATTGAAAATAAAGAGTCTGCATTGGATTTCATCCTGTTGCACAATAATGATTTGCACGCACACTTCGAAGAAATGTCAGATTCCGGCAGTGAATGTTCACCGGAAAAGGCTCTAGAACACAAATGCTACGGTGGATTTGCGCGAGCTGCAACTCTCATTAAACGATATCGAAACGATCATCAGACAAGGAATGGGTTGCCGGTTATGTTTCTAAATGGAGGCGATACATACAGTGGAACACCTTATTTTCAAATGTTCAAAGACAAAATTGCATCGGAATTCATGAACATATTGAAACCGGATGTTGCCGTACGTACTGATATTTCGATTAGATAAATAGCCTTCAAAAGCAGGTATCGCTTTTAGCAATATTAGCGTGACAATGATCACATTATTCGTAATTTACTCGAAAATGCAAAGGATAAAAAACAAATATTGATCGAAACAATAATTAGCATTAGACAGATTACATAAGCATTTTTACGAAAATTAGATTTTGAAAAGTTCTCTTAAAAAAGATACCAATGGAAAATCTTATGAAGTCATATTTTGGTAGAAATTCTTTTGTCATTTATCAGTTTTATTTATGGTGTTAAGGTATTCAAACAATGACTTTTGCGAAATGTTTGGCCATAGTTAGGTAAACAAAATAAAACTATAAAAAGTGATAATGATTTTTGGATAAAAGAAAAAAAGAAGGTTAAAGCCATAAAATCTCAGTAATATAAGATAGTTATGATAAGAAATCTTCTAGAAAATCATACAATAATTGAATGTGATTAAATATTTCACGTGTCATTTGAGTTTAAATAGACCTACCGGTGTCAGCATGTATTCTATATAACACTTTCTATTTATTTGCACATGCAAATCTTGAAACACTGATATTCAAAAAAAGTAAGTTATAGGTTTCAAAAGCGTCAAATGCAATCAAAAAATCTATCAGGCTATCAAAAAATATACCATATTTTTAATTGACAAAAGGAAGAAATCATACAAGGATACATTCAATATTAAATTTGGGAGCTCAAAATTTGGTCGGGACATATTTTTTCTTGATATCGATATCGGTTTGCCGGAAAGATCCATAGAACGATGCTCTGCTGTCCGCCTCAGTTGGTGCATGCACAATTTCCTTTCGAATTGCAATATCCGCTTTTGTGCCCATTTAAAATGCAGTATGGACGACACGCTGCGGGTCCACCTTGCGATGCGCATGTCACAGCTGTATTCGAATTCAAAAAGAATTTACTTGAAAATAGGATTTTCAAAAATCACTTTTAATAGCTCTTACCTTCAACTGGTGCGGCATTGAATGTTATGCCAAGAAAGAGGACCGTGGCGAATAAGAAGAATAATTTGAAATTCATTTTGACTTTTTGGCTTTAAAGTGTTTGTAATTCACCAAACAAACTGACTGAACACTTTGAATTGATTTCGTTTCGTTTTCGGTCAAACCTTATATACCCATATGAATAATCTTACATCGAAGATAAGCTGAATCAAACAATGATAATTTAAAAATCCCCCAGCCGAAAAGAAATAGGCGATAAGCGAAAAACCCCCTTTTGCTATTGCGATTTATCGTTGCATCATTTGTGTGAATGATTCACTCTATTAGCTAAACAAAAATTCTTGAATTATTTCAATTTGAATTGTAATAAAATATCTGTTTGTGTAAAGACGTTAGGAAATCATGATTTCGATCTGGGAATAAATGGACTTTTGCCGTTTTTGAGCAACGTCAGTTTCCCGATAGCTGTGGCCAATTTGGATATTCCGGACGATCATCCTCTGATGCAAACTCATTCGGTGCGGCCATCAGTTGTGTTTAATGTGAATGGCACAAAGGTTGGAGTCATTGGATACATAACACCGGATACAAAGAATATATCAAAAAGCGAAGATGTTATTTTTTCAAACGAAATCACTGCGATCAAGTACGTATACCAACGTAGTTTTCTTCAAGTTCGTAACTAAAGTTTGATGAACACCAAATATACATGTTTTAATATTTCAGTAAGGAAGCAGAGACATTGACGAGTCAAGGCGTTAAGATAATCATTGCATTGGGTCATTCGGGTTATGTCGTGGATCAGGAAATAGCGAGAGAATGTCCGCTGATCGATTTAGTTGTGGGAGCACATTCGCATACCTTTTTATACACCGGAACACCGCCCGATCCAAATGACAAACCACTCGGCCCATATCCAACCATAATTGAACAGCCAAATGGGAAAAAAGTTCCTGTTGTCCAAGCGTCTTGTTATGCAAAATACTTGGGCAAGCTAGAATTGAGTGTATGTAGATCCGAATGTTTTTCTTAAGGTTTTTCTCTTAATCGCTGCATTCTTTATTTCAGTTCGATGAGGACGGAAACTTGATTCGTTGGAGTGGTCACCCCATATTATTAGATTATCAAATACCACAAGATGCAGAAGTACTTGAATTATTGGCCAAATATCGTCCAAGTGTTGAAGCTCTAACCAAAGATATTATTACCTATTCAAAAGTTGAATTAAAAAGAGATTGTCGTGATTTCGATTGTAATATTGGAAATTTGATAACTGATGCATGGGTCTATAATGGCGTACAAATGTATGATAGATCAGATGCCGCATGGACGGATGCTTCAATTGCTTTTATCAATGCTGGGGGAATTCGTAGTGGTGCTTCAATTGGAAATCTTTCAAAATTCACACTTTCAACAATATTACCATTTCAACATACATTGTGTATTGTGCGCATTCCTGGACGTGAAGTGAAAGAAGCTTTAGAGCATACAATGAAAGGATTCGTACTTGGTGATTATACGCGAGGCTATTTGCAAATGTCTGGTTTGCGTGTCGTTTTCAATCTGCAGAAAGAAGAGGGCCAACGTGTTCATTCTGTTGAAGTGTTGTGTGCCAACTGTAGTGTACCGGCATACGAACCACTTGATGAACAGAAAATCTATGGAGTTATTCTCAATGCATTCTTATACGAAGGGGGTGATGGTTTTTCTATGTTCAAAGTAAGTTTTATATTTTAATTTAAGATACATATGCTTCGTTTTTCTTTTTTTAAATCTCCTAATTATATCTAATGCTGAATCTTGTGTTTTAGCCGTATAAAGCTGTTGATATGAAGATCAAAGATTTAGACGCAGTGATTAATTACATACGTCGCTTTGAATCGATCTATCCAGCAATCGAAGGACGAATTAGATTCATTGGAGTGAACGGTGTAATTGATAACGTATCTTCATCTGCATCGCGTGTAGTGATGCCATTTGCAGTTGTTGTTCTGATTACAGCAATCCTATTGCTTACCATTGGTTAGTCAATTCTTATCAATCAAATTTTTCACGTTGAAATGTAATTTGTTGACCATTGTTTTAATAAAAATATATACGAATTGAAATTGCCTCGTCATACTACTCTTTCTAAAAGTATTTATACAAAAAAGTAATGAATTAAAACAAAAAAAAAAACAATTTTTGCTCAAAAATAGATTCCATCTCAAGAATGCACCATTTAGTGAAATGACTGTTTTCAAAGAAAAAGTGATATAAAAAAAATTGAATGCGTAATGAAATTGTTGACGTAAACAATGTGGTCTTGACATTTGAAGAGTGTCAGGCCATTAACAAAACCCTAAAAATTATAAGCACAGCTTAAGTTGATCAACACATTTAATTTCTTATTTTCTTTCCTTAGTAACAAACTATTTACTTGTTATAAACTTTTTGACCATCTTAATTTCGTTCAGCTTGTCGATTGATGGCAAGAATTTAACTTAAATTTGTAAATTCACTTATCTATTTTCATAATCGTTAATCTCTTCCATATAAATTCTTTGGCCGTTGAGTTTTGGCTTTTCATTGCTTCGCACTTCACTTCGTTTGCAAATTCAATTCATAAGAATGGACAATGGATTATATGCCAAACATGGCACAGAATATTTCATATTTAAGGACTAACACATACTTTTTTGGCAACGTCTTAAAAGAGTAATTCACTTAAAATTCCAGTCTGCACATTTTTCTCATATATTTCATCATAAGCTGTATATATATATACACTTGAAATGGAAAAGGAAAGATGTAAAATTCGTATGACCCCGAAGAAATTGTGCTGCAGTAAGCTCAATTTACAGCAAAAACAAAAACAAAAACACCACATTATCGACTACTGAAAGCGAAATTTACATGCATTTTGTTTGAAAAGAAAAGTTTTGGTCCGGAATTCAGGTGTAAGCCGAAAATACTTGCTCTGCAATCGGTTTGATGTTATGCGGGAAAAATAAAAATGTATACATTTGAAAAACAATGAAAAATGCTTAAGCGCATCAAACTACGACGAAAAAAAACTGGAAGAAATATATAGTGTAAGTTTTTTGGGATTCAAATCATCGAACAAGTTTAACAAGCATGAAATTTTAATACTCCAAAAACTTTCTTTTTCAACAAAATCGTTGTCACTTAAGCCAATTTAGACGAAGGAAGAAGAAAAAAAATGAACATATCAGATGCCATGTTTTTATCTAGATCTTTGGGTGAGACTTGGCAGACTTTCAAAAAGACATAGATTAATCAATGTGCCCGATTAATGGGATATTCTACAAATTCATTTTTCAATGTGACAAAATGCGATTTAATGAAACTGCAGTGAAGGGTGAAAAAAAAGGTGACAAGTTAAGAAGATGATGAGAAAAAAAAACCAATTATCAAAAATGGCAGTGTAAGTGAGAATGTCATTCTCCGTTCAATGTGCAACACATATAATTATAGTGTTCATTTGTGAATGTATTCATTAGTTGGATACACAAAGATATACTATTAGATGTGTTACATTTATATTTCGATAGTGTTCGGGCGGTTTATGTTCATTCCACATTAATATAAATGAGATAAATGGAAAAGCTTGATGAACGTTTTTGCTTGATTATAAATAATGTATGGTGATCAGCACGTTTGAGTTATCCAATTTAATTGGTAATTAGTAAGCGATAGAGAATGACAACACATCCGTATAAATAAATCATTTGCATATCGAAAGAGAATCGACTCCGGATCTGAAATGGTTCATTGCACTATATTTTTACATCCTTTGGAAGGTGAAACACAATTTATCGGACCAATTAATGAATGAGCGAAAACGTTTATGTTATTTGCAATATTCCAATGCGACGTATTTGCTCCATTGTTGAACGATTTATGTGAAAAATTGTATTATTTTCGAAAACATTTCATGACTCCTTCTCGGGGAGTCTTGAACCAATTTTTTTTGCAATTTAAAGAAGAAAAAAAAGAAGTAAAATCCACGATTATTTATTTCATTCGTTTGAAATTATTTCAATGATGATCTAGAGGAGAGACACCATTAGCAAACTTTATTTTCTTTCAATGAAAAATTAGAATTTTTAATTACAGGTTATTTGCAATTTGTAAAATAGAATCGTATTATCAAAACTATACAAAAAATGTGAGAAAAAGTAGCATTTATTGGTGTCTGTCCCCCAGATGTTGACAAATACATAAAAGAAGTTAATTGATTGTTTTCCTTTTGGGGATGTTTACATGCCAAATTATAATCTTCAAATTTCGTTGGTAAAATATCTCTGTACAATTTGTAGAATGTGTTCAATGAACATGGTGTACCACAATTTGGAATTTTCAACGGAACAATCGCTTTTTTATTTGTTTGTCGAAAAAACATTTGAATAGAAAAATTGCCAGCATTTTGATACAGTTCAAAATGTAAGCTCGATGCATAAAATGGTCGAAACAGCGGTGTGAATGACTACAAAATAGAACGAAATAAAAAAAATAATTAAACTCTTATGTTTTGTTTGACGAATAATAAATAAAGCTTGAATTACATCATATAAGTTTAAAGCGATTAAAATGTTTATCATAGATACGTCATGCGCCGCATATAACCATAAAGACCGATCAGGTTTGAGAGTTTCCAATGATTTATTTGTAAAACGATCCAAAATTTCTTTGATAAAAAAACCAGCTTCTAACTTCTTAAGTTCCGTTGAATGTGTGAGTGCCATCATTTCAAAAAGTGCCAGATATTTCAACGTATTATTTGTGTGAAGCGCATCGGAAGCCCATTTTGGAAGACTAATACGCATGCAAAGAGATTTATTTAATAATTTGGAATTTTTGAATTGTTTTTTTTTTATCGTTGATTAAACTCACTGTAATCCTTTTTGATGTTCAATATACAGTGTATCGTATAAATGTAGAAAATCACTATAAACTTTGAGTGATTTTCCGGATTTTTCTTCCCAATATTGAATTAACGAACGATGCTTTTGAAAAACTGCTTTGTATTCCGGTGAATTTATGTACGTTCCAAATAAGTACCGAAAACGTGCACACGGAATACTATGTGGCATAAGAAGTTCTTGGTTTAATGGTTGACTGTGCACTGGTATTGGTTGCCATTTAATGTCCGCACTCCAAATTTCGTTGCCAACTGGTGGAAATAAAGAAGCGGCCAGAACCTGAGCACTCATTAACGTTCGATCAAAATCGGTACTATGAATGTAAACCGCATTTTTTGAGTATTTCTCTCCGACCAATTTGTTATATCGTTGCCGCAAATATTTACCCAATTTGTATACTTCTGTTTTACCATTCTACACCATGGAAAATATTCATTACATATTGTTTTTTCTCTCGATTCAATCGGTCCTTTACTTACATTTGTGAGTGCTCCAAATCCACCAGTCCAATGAGTCTCATTAATATATGGATCATTGGGATACGATCGTTCTATATTTCTTTCGCCATGACGAAATATCTAAAGTTTTTTCAAGAAGAAAATTATTACATTTGATAATTTACTAAGAGATACTTTTTAATGTTTGCCCACTTATCACTCAAAGCACTCACAACATGAGCAAATATTGGTTCGTTCCCATAATAATCACTAGTTTCAAATTTATCCAAAGCAAATACACTTGGGCAATACCAACATTGGATCGTTAACAAAATTCGAATTATATTATTCAAAAGAGACTTCATTATTCTGACAATTTTTTCGAATATAAACAACGATTTGTTCAACTTGTGATTAACTGTGTCTGAAAAGTAAATATAAAAAAATAATCGATTGTATCAAATTAACCTATTCAATACATAAAGAGACGTGATTTTCAATATATGTATAATTCTTTTAAAAAATTGAGATAACAAATAAGCAAAATGAAAGATAGTGAAACACTGTAGATGTGGTTAAACAAACACACTTGGCTACGTTCAAATGACGAATGTTTATCAAATCGTAATTGATTCGATTTCGTGCTATGCCATGAAACATACAGTTCCAGACATTGAAACCAGTTTCCATGCAGATTCACTTCATTTTAAAAAAAAATGAATTTAATCAAATGACTCGTCAATTTGAAGGTAGGACACATAATTTATCAAATTAGAATGTATTACTAATCGTTTAATTAATCATAAACTTACTTACTTTGGTAATAAAACTACTAATAAAGAATCCAGTACCATTATCAACACGAATAAAGAATATACTTGTTTTGAAGAAACTGGTCTGACAATGATGTTAAACAATTTTGCTTGGAAAAAGTACCATCTTTGCAAGTAAAATGTGCTTCTTTAAAATTATGACTAAGCGACATCAATTGAAAAAAAAAAAACAGATTGTTTATTAGAGAAAAACTAAATTTGACGAAGGGTTAACCCCCCCCCCCCTCCCCCCTTCGCACATTACTGATTCACAATATATTGATATATGAACGAATTTGCAGCACGAGTACGAACAATATATGTCATGAATGCGCGTCGTATCTAATGACCGGCCATCTATTGATTAATTTAATGTTAATGGATGTGCCATTTCGGTAAATCGGCGGAATTCTCTGTTCCTTTTTTTGAGATTACAAGCGAACTTTGCGATAACACTTCTAATACATAATATCCTTATCTTATTGTCTGTTATTCGATAGCTAATACATTTTTTTAATACAAATAATGATAAGATAGATTAAGTGAATGTTAACATAAGATACATATCCAAAGAAAATCGTGATGTTTATCTTAAAAAATGTTGCTTTGATTTCATTGTGCATTGGATCGTGATAACATGGTTTTTAAAAGATAGAAAAATTCATAAAAACGTTTAACATTATAATCTCCCACATATTTGTTGCATATTCATGCCCATTTATTTGTATGGTATGAAAATCTTAAATGGGCCAATTGAATTTAAATTAAATTAACTAATGGCTGAGTGCCACAAGGGATGACTTAAATAAATGGATAAATGAATCACACAAAAAAAGGATAAAAAAGAACCCAGCAATGTGACAATTTAATACTTTT